TTAATTCTCATGTAGCCACAACATCAATATTCTCTTTCACGGCTTTAGTCATGTAGAGAGAAGCCAGCTTGTAGAAATATTCTGCAATGTCATTTTCCAGTTCTATTATCATTGAGTTTCTACGTTTAGATCTTCTATCCTAGAACTTACATTTTTATGGTGTGAGGTTAGGATCAGACTTAGCTTCTTTCTGAAGGGCTCTCTGGTTTACCTGGTTCATGTGTGGAATAACCCACACTTTCTCAATCACTTGGAAAGGCTACACGTAACCCAGGCTGTATCCCCACACACACCCAGGTCTGCTTCTCGACCCCTCCTGCTGCTGAAAGGCTGCGTGCATCCGCTGAGCACAGGTGCTTGTCTCTCACCGCAGGGAACATGCTTCCATGACTGCTGACTTTATGGCCACCCTTCGACCTTGTGGTTTTCGAATGTTTTGGGCCAGCCTCACAGTCACTCTTCTTGATGACCCTCAGAACTCATCCTGCTCCCCTGTAAGCCCAGATGTTTTGCCTGGTCTGAGTGCCTGCTGGGCTGATGGCTGAGCACCAACTTTCATCCAGAAACGTGCTTGGTTTTCTATTTATTTAAGGCTTTTCTGTCCTTCGAGTCAGGGTTACTTTTCATGTGACATTTCTCAGACAACTTACGGCTTTGGTTATCACTATGAGTGGGATCCAGCTTGACGACAGTGTGGCAGGGAAGAATGAAAATTGGTTTTGGCATCAGACCAACTAGGCTGAATTTCCAATTCAAACAAAAGGACGCTGGGCAAGTCATTTAACTTCTCTGAGCTCAAGTTTCCTCATTTGTGTAAAGCTCTTCCTAGGGCAAGGTTGCTGCAAAACCCCCTTGCACAAGCGTGGGGAAAGGAGCCACGGTGCCGGTGCTTGCTAGGTGCTCGGCAGATGGCCACCTCCGGGCCCCCGGTGCTGCCTGGCTCTGGTACATGTGCCAACCTCAGGGCTCCAGAGGGCCCCAGAAGGCTCATTCTCCCAAGGAGGATCTCATTTCACTCGAACTGTGAGCCCCACTGTGGCGTGTCCTACCCAGAACCATGTATCAACCCTGGGCACACAGTGCCACACTCTCCAGCTTCAGTATAAGGGGGGGTCCAGCTCCTGTTCCTGAGCCAGGCCCTTGGAGGACATACACGCTCCTGTCCTGCTGGCAGCTGACCTCAGCCCAGGCTGGGTCATTTACCAGGAGAGGTCCATGGCCCTGGTGCATGTTGGCGACTGGGCCTCGGGCTGCTCACATGACAACCACAGTGGACGCTCCGTAACTGCCCATGGGTTCACAGACGCATGTCTGTCCAGAACCACTGCTGGACCAGATCCTGTCTCTCGTTCCCAGCTCTGTCACTGAGCCTCAGGGTGAGACATGTGGGGCCCGTTCCTGGTTCTCCACTGTCTCTCACCCCTCTGTGTGGATTTGGAATGAAGATGATGTTCGGAGGGTCTGCCTGGATCACTGGCACAGATGGGGCAGCTGAGGCCCTGGGGCAGGGGTGCTTGCTAAAGACCACTAGGGACCACTGGGCCTGGGGGAGCTGGTGGAGAGGGCCATGGTGTGGCCTGGGCCCATGGGCAGTACCACACTCACCACTTCCAGTTCTCACTGGAACCACGAGAGGGCTACTAGTGCAGCAGCAACACCATTCACAACCCAGTGCCCATCAGCAAATGGGGGAGAAACAGGCGGGGCACCCCTGTGATGGAATGCTACTGAACCATGAAGAACCACAAGCCACAAGCCACAAGCCGGGTGAACCCTGAGCACACGACGCAGAGTGCGCGAAGCCAGACACACGGGACCACATGCTGTCCAATCACTGATGGGATGGGGGTGCCCGGAACAGGCACAGCCGTGGCTGCCAGAGCCAGGGGTGTCGGGGAGAAGTGGCGGGGACAGCCAATGGGCCGGGGTTTCCTCTGGGAAGACAGAGGTGCTCAGAAACTGGGGGACTGGTGATGCCGCAGGCCCTGTGAATGCACGCCAAGCCCTCACGCTGTGTGCAGCCCATGACCGTCCCCAGGGGGGGCCCTTGGCTTGCAGCCTCTTCCTGGCATCTCCTGGTATTACTTGAATATCATAAGCATGTACCCTACTTCCCCAAACAAACACATGTCCAAGAATGGACCACGTTTAGCCTAATCTGAGCCACATAAAGAAGAGAGAAAGGAACTGTGTCCCGATAGGAACAGCGGCTGTCCCTAGTTAGTGGAGTTTTTCTACCTGTGAGTAGGTTTTGTACACTTTATCTGTGTGTGTGTGTTTCTGTACACTTCATCTGTGTGTCTGTATACTCTGTGTGTTTCTACACTTTTACTTGTATGCATTTCTGTAAACTCTGTTTGTATAGTTTATCTGTGTTGTGTGTGTACACTTTGTGTCCGTGTCTGTGTACTTTATCTGTGTGTGTCTGTGAACTTTATCTGTGTGTGTTTGTATACTTTATCTGTATGTTTCTGTATATTTTGTGTCTGTGTACTTTATCTGTGCATGTGTGTAAATCCGCAGGAGAAAACACCTCATTGAAATACACATGGCCTTAGACAGAGTACTTGGACTCAAGTCTGGTTGGGAAAGACCAGGTTTCAGGGGGAGGACCCGGGTGTTGACACCCTAGATAACTAAAGGCATGTCTGCTCCCGGCACGCCTGACCTCGAGTGGGACTCTCAGCTCTGGAAGCGGGGAGACAGGCCCCAGAGTTGCCCAAGCCGCAGCACCAGACGGATAGGCCGCCGTTTCTCGCAGGGCTGATGGGGCAGCTGCGGACCAGGCTGCAGGTGCAGCAGCAGGAAGGCCTGCGTGGGGGACAGTGTGTGAGGCCTATCCAGCCCCCTCCAGCGCACACAGCCCATCGACGGGGAGACCTAAGTCGGCTGGGAGGCGGAGGGCACTGCCCCGATGGAAAGTGGGCGTGGAGGGAGGAGACCGGGAAACCGGACAGACCCCAGCTGCCCCATGAACAGAAATGCTCTCCTGGGAAGCAGTCTAGCGGCCGTAAGCCTCAGCATTCCAGGCTGAGAGGATGGTCACCCTCCCACATGGTCGAGAAGCTGGAGCACCTGGCAGGACCGGGCCCAGGGCCCACTGCTGCCATGGGGTCCTCTGACGGAGGATGGGAATACTGTAGGGCGACAGCTGAGTACCCGTGTGGGTGCCTCACAGATGCTGAGCCACGTTTCATGGTAAACTGAGCGGGGTAAAGACGTGCCCCGTGGGGATCTGGGAGGGGCGGGAAGCTCCATGGTGAGCCACGAGGGGCAGCTCCCCCTGGAGGGTGTAAGACCCCCCCCATGGGGAGTGTGGAGCCATGTCATTGGCGGTGGGGACCCTTGCTCTCACCTAGCAGGTCGGCCCCCTCATCCACGTCCCCGATGACCTCTGACCCAGCGGTTGACAGCTCATGGTACAGGGAGTCAGTGTTGATGCCGAAAGCCTTGTTCACGATGCCCTGGGTGGGGCTGTCAGGAGGATACATGGGGGGGAGCAGTCACCCACGCTGACCCAAGCTTTCAGACCCTCCCAGCTCCAATCCCAGCACCCTGAAGGCCCACACTGCTCCACAGTGTCAGGCATGAGCTAGACAGTGGGGTCAGCCCCCTATGATCGCCCCGGACCAGTGAAAGGGGTGCCAGTGACCTTGCTTACCCAGGGACCCTATCCACCTGGGGCTGCGTGCAGACGTCCCGTCCGCCCAGGGCCCCGAGGCTGCACGCTGACGTCCCGTCCGCCCAGGGCCCCGGGGCTGCACGCTGACGTCCCGTCCGCCCAGGGACCCTATCCACCTGGGGATGCGTGCAGACGTCCCCGTCCGCCCAGGGCCCCGGGGCTGCACGCTGACGTCCCGTCCGCCCAGGGCCCCGGGGCTGCACGCTGACGTCCAGCCAGGGCCCTGGGACGCATGCCGACGGACCTGTTACCAGTGCGGTCCAGGCGTGGCTCCTGACACATGTCCAGCTCCGGGGTGGAGTCGATGGTGTCCTGGACATCAGACCACTCATCACTGCTGCCCATACCTGGGGGGGGGGGCACAGCAGAGTGAGGTCGGCGGGGCTGGTAGCTCCCCTCCACCACCATGGCTGCCCCTGGGGTGACCCTGCGGGTTGAGTAGCCTGGGCCCACGGGAAGGGAGAGAGGACACGGGGCTGGTCTGATGGACTACTGGCCAGTGGTGTGTCTTCCCCACCCAGCACAGGTGGCTTGCCTGACACTCTGTGGTTGGCACAGGACCAGCAGGGACGTGTGGAAGGGTGGCCGGCAGCCACGGAACCTTGGCAGAGACTCGTGGGAGGGCGGCTAGCGGCCACAGGACCAGCAGGGATACTGGGAGGGACGGCTAGTGGCCAAAGGACCAGCAGGGACGTGTGGGAGGGCAGCCAGCGGCCAAAGGACCAGCAGGGACATGTGGGAGGGCAGCCGGCGGCCACGGGACCAACAGGGATGTGGGGGGGGGCGGGGTGGTGGTGGCAGGCAGCGCACCTATGCTGACATTACGCATCTCCTGCGTGACCTGCACCTCCATGTTGCGGCTGTTGCGTTTCTCACGGGCCTGCTTGCCACTCTTGCTGTTGCCATGGTCCCCCAGAGGCTGCAGGGTCTCATTGAGGGGTGTGACCGTGGCTGAGGGCACTGAGGATGTGGGTGTGTTGGACTTGGTGCCAGTAGTGCTGGGTGTGGCGGCCGCTGAGGACTGACCCGACTCAGACATCTCGTCGTGGGGACACTGGGACAAACACAGGAGGGAGCGTCGCAGTGTGTCCCCCCCACAGGTCAGTGTGGCCACCCGAGGCCATGTGGGGCCATCACAGCCACCCCATCTGAGGGCTCAAAGCCCAGTGTCCTGCCACTGGCAAAGGAACGGTCTGGAAGGGCTCAGGGGACGCGATGGTGCCTCCGGGCCAAGACGGGGCCTGGTCACGTCCACGGTCGCTCCGGCTCTCCAGAAGCAACCCCACCCAATTGAAATGGCTAGAACGTGACCTTCAGCTAGCGCGACCCCCCGGGTGGGATGACAGCACAGCGCGCTGGAGGCCACAGCGCAGGGCGGAGTGGGCTTTCCGGGCCTCATGTCTGGCACTGACGCACAGAAGCAGGCAGCAGGTGCCGGGCATCTGACCAGCCACCACGGTGTCCCCCTACGGCCCTGAGGATGCCTGGCTCTGCCCTGCCACCTGCGTGGGCAAGACCCTCGAGGGGTGAGCAGTGGTGCGGCTCTGAATACCAGCCCTGACAGTTGTGGAAGCAGTTAGTGGAGGGACATCTCTAAAACCTGGGGACCCAGTGCCATGTCCAAAACAGCACCACCTGAGGCATCATGGGGGAGGAAGCTCTGAACCAAGACGGGACACAGACCCACAGACCCCTGCTAGGGAGGCCTTCCTGTGTCCCACGGACCCCCTGGCACTCCCTGTTGGCAGCCCTCAGTGCGGCTGTCCCCATGGCTGCCAGGCCTCCTGCCCCATCTCAGGCTCAGTACCCTGTCTTCCCTGGTGCTGAGGCCTCAACCCAAAGCCCAGGAGGAAAACACTGCTCCCTTCCTAGATGGGACATGAGGACACTAGGACACACATCCGGGACAGAAAGCTGCACGGAGGCCCTAATCTAGGAGACAGGAGGGGCTGAGGAGGGTGGCCACCAACCCTCAAGCTGGGAAAATGCCGGGCCACTTGATGCGCTGTCATTGAGGACGGGCAGGGTCGCCCAGGTGACAGTCTACCAGCCACGTCCAGGAGGGGCCAGCAGGAGCACTGGCTCCCAGGGCGGTGGTTGCCCTGTCTGGTCACTGCCACGTCCCAGGCAGAGAACCCTCCCAGCGACCAGCCTGCGCCTTTGGAAGGTGGGGTCTGACTCTGTCCATGGGGTAGGAGATAGCACCACTGGAAACCCAACACTCGGAGCTTTCTGCACAGTGGGTGTGCCGCCAGCAAGTGGGCGCCAGGGCACACGTGGCAACGTGTGGGTCTGCTGTCACCATGGAGGGGTGCTTCCAGCACCTGGTGGGCAGAGGTCAGGGATGACGAGGGGCATCCCACAGCCACAGTACGTGGCCACCCATGTCGCCAGGACTGACAGAGACCTGCTCTGAGCCTGCTCCTTGCTTCCCAGGAAAGGGCCCTGCAGGGAACGCTGAGCTCCGGATCTGTGTCTGACGACTTGTGCCCAGGGTAAGAAGAAAAACTCCCCCCTGTTGTCATGTCTACAACCAAAGCTGACCCTGGAGACTGTCACCCACACTCCAAGTTACATCTTCGTGAGGAAGTCCCCGAGCTTCCACTGCCTGAGCCCATGTCATGGGGCCCACGTGTCCCACAGTGTGAGGCTCTCTGCTGCCACATGAGGGGAGGTGTAGGAGACCAGATGAGAGAAGCCACTAAGTAAGTAGTCGGGGAGTCCACACCTTGCAGAATGGACGGCTTGCCCAATGGCCATGTCCTCCAGTCAGATCCACAAGCACAAAGTGGGGCTGTGGATGCTGAGTGGGTCTGAGGGACCCAGGAATAACCTCTGGGGCCTCTGTGCTGTGACCACGCCTCCCCTGGTCCCTTAGTGCTGTTTTCCTACAGAGCTACCACTTGCCCACGGGACACGACCCCTGGCCACAACTTACCTACAGGCAAACCTGTTAACCTGCTAAACACCAACGGGGGCAGGGGCCTCCAAACGCAAAGAACCCACACTCAGCGGCCATTCCTCACCATGAGTAGCCACAATTGTTAGGTTAAAAACTGAAAATACAGTACATAAACACAAAACCATGAACAACAGAATAAGGAATCAGAAAAACTCTAAAACACAGGGTGTGAGAAAAAACGAAAACATAATCATTGATAAAAAAATAAATGAAACACATCAACTAAAACATAAAATACCAGCTGATCAAGAAGATGGGCGGGATAGGAAAAGAGAGAGAAACACGGTCATCAGCAGGAGAGAGAGAAAGAGAGAGATGCAGGGTGGGGGGACATGTGGGGTGAGACATGGGGAAAGAAGGGGGAGATGGGGAGAGAGAAGGAGACACGGGGGGAGAGAGAGACATGGGTGGGGAGACACAGGCAGGGCAGACACAGGGAGACGGAGATACGTGGAGAGATGGAGAGAGACATGGGCAGGGAGACAAGGGGTGCAGGGAAAACACAGGGAGAGAAGGGGAGAGAGGCCAGGGAGACACAGGGGAGGGGGGGAGAGAGAGGGAGAGACACGCAGACATGGGGAGGGGGACGTGGGGGGAGACACGGTGGAGGGGCAAGAGAGAGAGAGGGAACACGGGAGGGGAGATGGTGGGGAGACATGGGGAGGTGGGGAGACATGGGGAGAGAGGCATCAGTGAGGAGACATGAGGAGCGAGTGAAGACAGAGAGAGAGATAGGGAGAGAGGCCAGGAAGCCAGGGAGGGAGGGAGAGGGAGAGACAGAGAGAGAGAGGCAGGGAGGGGAATGTGGCAGGGAGACACCGGGAAAGAGCAGGGGCAGATGCAGTGGGGGTGGAGGGGGAGCGAGCGAGAGAGGAAATGCAGGAGGGGAAACATAGTGGGGGGGACACGGGGAGGTGGAGAGATGGGGAGGAGGGAGCGGGGGGGGAGACGTGGGGAGGTGGAGAGATGGGGAGGAGGGGGGGGAGACGTGGGGAGGTGGAGAGATGGGAAGGAGGGAGGGGGAGAGAGAGGGGAGGTCATGGCAGAAGAGCCACCCCACATGAAGAGGTAAGGAGAGCGGGAGGGACACAGGTTAGGTGGCAGGAGGGACGCAGGCTGGGTGGCGGGAAGGACACAGGCCGGGTGGGGGTGTCTCCCTGCTGCTTCCTATTGCTCGTGTGGCTCCTTCAAGTGCTTCCAGCTCAGGTCGAGCTCCCAGGCCTGAGGGCATGAGCACATCTGAGTGTGTGTGACTGTGAGTGCATGAGAAACAAGAATGTGAGTGTGTGTGCATGTGTTAGCATGTACGAGCATATGTGAGCCTGAGTATGTGGTTGTGAGCACGAACATGTAAGTGTAGAAGCCTGAGTGTGAGTGTAAGAGCATGTGCAAGCCTAAGTGTGAGTATGTGTGAACTTATGTGAGTGCATATCAATAAGAACACGTGAGCATGAGTGCATGTGAGCATGTCTGAATGTGTAAGCATGTAAGAACATGTATGAGCATGACTGTGAGTGCATGTGAACTCGTGCGTGCATGTGAACTCGTGCGTATGTGCGAATAACATGTGTGAGTACATGTGAGCATGGGTGTGTAAGAACATGTGTGAGCTTGAATGCATGTGAACTTGTGTGTGAATAATTAAATGTGAGTGCATGTGAGCATGGGTGTGTAAGAGCATGTGTGAGCCTTAGTGTGAGTGCATGCGCACTTTGTGTGTGTGTGTGAATAACATGTTAATGTGAGAGCATGTCAGTATGGGTGTGTAAGAGCATGTATGAGTCTGAGTGCGTGTGAACAACATGTGAATCCATGTTGAGTATGGGTGTGTAAGAGCATGTGTGAGCCTGATTGTGAGTGCATGTGACCTTACATGTGTGCATGCATGTGAGTAACGGGAGAGCACGAGGGCACGTGAACACGTGAACACATGTAAGCATGAGTGCGTGTGAGCACAGGCATGTGATGAGTGAGCATGAGTGAGTGCATGTGAACACACCTATGTGTGAATATGTAAGTGCATGTGAGCATGAGTGTGAGTGTGAACTGAAGTGTGAACGTGCCACAGGCCTGCCACCTTCTGGCCAACCCCCACCGCTGAACGAGGTAACTGGTGGGCGAGTGGCCAGCATGGCCCAGACAGGAGCGCCGGAGTTGAGCAGAAACAAGGTAAAGTGTCCAAAGTGGGACAGAGCCTCAGCTGGCCTGGGCCCTGTGGGCAAGCGAGACGCTCTAAGGGTGACAGACAGTCATGCGTGAAGGGCAGCAGGATGGAAGCCGCCAGAGAACCTGCAGCCTCGTCCTACAGCCTGCTTCCTGCATGTGTGCTGCTGCCACCAGGGGACCCAGCAGGCCCCAGGCCCCGCCCCCGGGGCAGAACAGCTCCCCGGCCCTGCCTTCCTCTGGTCCACTACACCCCCACACTCTGGGAGCGCCTCGGCTGGCGGTGTGCCTCCTGGGGCTTCACCCAGAGTTCAGAGGCAGAGAATCCGTCCCCTTGGTAAAGCAGACAGGACAACAGAGCGCTCTCTCTCGAGGTAACCTCTTAGGAAGGCAGGCAGCCGGTGTGCCAGGGCACACCCCCTGGCTGAGCGCACTGCGTCCTGGACTGCAAGGCGGCTGTGAGCGCCCTGGGCCACTGCCTGTATAGGAACCTCGGTCCCACGGACCCCACCCTTGGGTGCTGGCCGGCTCCTCCCTCCCTGCCCACCTTGGGCAGACGGTGCGTGTGGAGGTGGCCTGCCTGGACAAGCAGGGGAGCTGGTGACGGGGAAGCCCCTCGCCCACAGCATGGCTACGAAACCTGGTAGGTGGAGCTGGCCGGCAGCTGGCCGCGGTCACTCGGGCGCCAGTGGTCCGCTGCAGGCGTCAGCTTGCCCCCCATCTGTGCACGTACCATGCCATCGGCCAGGGGGAAGACGTTCAGAGAGGTGGGGCGCTCCTTCCTACTGGGGTGTGGGGGAGAGATGAAGTGGGCATTAGACGGTGGTGGTGGGGAATAGCACCAGCCCTTCCCGGATGCTCAGACCCCTGCTCTGTGCGGCACGCGGCTCTCACCATGCCCGCCCACAGGCTGCGTGCCCGGCCGGCTCAGCCAGATGAGGCTATGGGGCAGGCGAGGCCCTTCTGGTCGGATGCCACCCCTGCCCAGCCCGTCCCTCCTCAGGGCGGGTCACAGCCAGGGGGTAGCCTCTACCAAGGTGGGGGCACACCATGTATGACCCACCACCATGGTTTGGTTTGTAATTTTTATTTGTGTCCGTTTTAAACAGACACCTTCAGCGGGGCAGGAACCCCGGAGGGACTCTCGGTACTGCAAAAGCCCAGCCTACTCAGCAATGGACTCTCACGGGGACACGCACTCTCACACGGCCTGCTGAGCCCCACGTCAGTGCTCCTGAGTGAGAAGAGGCGGGCCTGTGCAGAGCTGGGAGGATGGTGTGCTGGCAGCAAAGGTGGGAGACCACACAGCCACACGCCCCATCCCCCTGCTCTGCAGGGCGGTGGGGGACCACACAGCCATCCCTCTGCCCCGCAGGGTGGTGGGAGACCCCACAGCCGCACGCCCCATCCCTCTGCCCCGCAGGGCGGTGGGAGACCACACAGCCATCCCTCTGCTCCGCAGGGTGGTGGACCACACAGCCGCACGCCCCATCCCTCTGCCCCGCAGGGCGGTGGACCACACAGCTGCATGCCCCATCCCCCTGCCCTGCAGGGTGGTGCGGGGCCTTGGGCCTTCCCATCTGGCAGGCACTCCTCCTGCAGCGTGAGGGTCCCTGTCTGGAGCTGCCACCACCTCAGGTGACGACCTGGCTCTGCAGAAACAGGAGCTGGGGGGCGGCGTGCAGGCAAGGGTCTTCCTCCCGCTGTCCGGCGTCAGCCACGCCCCTCAGGCGGAGGAGACAGGGCTGTGGGGGAGCCTCATCCTCTGGGGGGTCCTCTGTCAAGTGTTCAGCACGGCTCAGCCCTCGTCATGGGGAGGTGCTGCTCCTGCACACTTCTTGGTGCTTCCCTTTTTTAAGATGGCTAAAGACATGGCATAATGCTGACCATGTGCTGTGACACCTGTGTGACAAAGCCTAATAGCCTTTTCCCACCTCCTGTTTTCCCTCTGTGCCCACCTCGATGGGCTTGTCTGAGCGGGATACCCCGTACAGGGCATCACACTGTCCCTTCACGACCGACACATCTCACTGAGATCAGGGTTTTCCAGGTGAGCCGTACGGTAGCTTCATGCCACATACAGTACTTCATCCCTCTTCAAGGCTGGTAACATTCCGCCACATGGTTGGACCACATTGTGTTTCTCTATCATTTGCTGATGGACAATGAGGTTGGTCCCACTTTCCGGTGATGGCGAACAGTGCTGCAATTTACACTGGTGTGCGTTTATGTATAGAGTTCCTGCTTCCAAGTACCCTGGGAGCAGAATGGCTGGACCCCATGGTACCTCAGGTACATACTCAGGAACAGAATTGCTGGGTCATGTGGTAACTCTGCGTCTAACTTTTTGAGGAATTACCAAACTGTTCTCTACAGAAGCTGCCCCATTAAGGTATCTGACTGCTAACCAGAAGGCTGGCAGTTCAAATCCACAGCCACTCTTTGGAAGGAAGGCTGGACAATCTATTTCCATAGAGACACCACTTTGGAAACTCAAGGAGGAATCACTGTAAGTCGAATCTACTCGACAGCAGTGAGGGTTTTTTTTATTTTTACCAGCCAAACACAAGGATTCCACTTTCCTTACATCCTTACGAAACAGCCCTATGCTTTTAAGAGTCGAAGATGCTCCAAGCCGAGGAGAGACACCAAGGTTCAAGGGCTCTGAACCTGCTGAAGGCGCCAGGCCTCACTGCCTGAGTCCCACCTGAGCTCTTCTCCAAAGAAGTCAGGGTGCCCATGGCCGTGCACCCCGAGAGTGGGCAAGGCCTGACAGCAAGGTGAGCACAGACAGCCCCACCAAGACGCAGGGCAGACAGGCCCAGGCCAGGCCTCCTGTGCCCCAGTTCTCCCACGGGGTTCCCAGTCCTGCTCAGGGACACTTTCTCACGTGCGCACACGACCTCAGGGGAGGTGCCTCCAGACCCCAAGCCAATGCGATACCACAGATGTCACCTGCAGAGTGAAGGCACGTGCAGACAAGTCCTGAGTCAGCACAGGGGAAGGTATGCACATGGGGCCGGTGGCCTTGATGGTGGCTGGCAGTGCGCCACATCTGGGAAGAGCTGGTGGCTCTCCCTTGGCTGAGATCACTGCCCCCAGGAGTCCTGTCTCCCCTTGGTCCCTCCAACAGAACTGTGTGTGGGGCAGGGCCCAGACCGAGCGAGGTCCTAAGGGTGCTAGGACCTGACACGGGGGCTCCGTGAGGCCATTCTCTGGCTCCATCCCGTGGCTCCTGTGGGCACCATGAAGTGCTGCTGCGGGTGATGTCCTCACTCTGGTCACATGCTGGGATGGCCATTCAGACTGTCTGGGGCCACAGTAAGAGCCCTGACCCCAGGCAGCAGCCGGCCCAGGACTGAGGTTGGCGCAGTGACTACGCTGCAGGACTTGCTGGCCCTGCCTGGCTTCTGATCAGCAGGAAGAATAGTGCTGGGTGTGCAAGAGGCAGGACACAAGTCCAGGCCAGGGGAGCTGCAGGAAGCTCCCACACCAGCACCCCGCTTGGCGACCCATGGGGGCCTGACCAGGCCACCACCGCTAAATGCCACAAACTCCAGCTTTCACCATCAGCCAAGAAAGCTCCCACCCCAGGTACTGACGGGAGCCACCGTGCGCATGTCAGCCCCAGCAGCCGGCTCCTCAGAGGCAAGCACAGGCCCACAGGCCGCCATGAGAAGTGGGCCCGGGTTTACCTTTTCCTCCACGACTGGCGAGGACTGCAGGGCGGGACACGGTGACAGGGCCCAGAGGGACAGCACAGGAAGCAAGACGAGAAAATACCATTAGAGACAAAGGCGGAGCCCGTGGCTGCCCACGCCTGGACAGAGGGGCAGCGCCCAGTGAGGCGGACACGCAGGCACCAGCTGGGCCGCCTGCTGCGTTGACAGACAGGTGGGAACACAGGGATGACCACAGGGCACATGACTCACGGCCCCGAGCTTCACACACGGTCAGTGTCGGTCACACTAGGTACAGGCTGTTGGGGGGTGTGTGTGCTTACGGTCAACATGGGCAGAGGGACAGAGAACACGCCACAGGCACATGCAGGGACAGGGCACATGCCGCAGCCACACGTGGGGACGGAGTATACACTGCAGCCACACGCGGGGACAGAGTGACGGAGCACACACCGCAGCCACACGTGATGAGGGAGTCCATGCATGCACAGCCACACATGGGGAGTGACAGAGCACATGCCACAGCCACACACAGGGGCAGAGTCACGGAGCACATGTCACAGCCACACGCGGGGACAGAGTCACAGAGCACATGCCGCAGCCACATGTGGGGACAGAGTGACAGAGCACACACTGCAGCCACATGTGGGGACAGAGCACACATCGCAGTGACATGCGGGACGGAGTGACAGAGCACACGCCACAGCCACATGCAGGGACAGAGCGCATACTGCAGCCACATGCAGGGACAGAGTGACAGGGCATATGCCGCCACACGTGTGGACAGAGTGACAGCACATGCTGCAACCACACGTGATGAGGGAGCACACGCCACAACCACATGCAGGACAGAGCACACGCCACAGCCACATGCAGGGAGAGATTGACAGAGCACATGGTGCAGCCAGATGCAGGGACAGAGCACACGCCGCAGCCACACACGGGGACAGAGTAATGGAACACACGCCACAGCCACACACGGGGAGGGAGCACACACTGAAGTCACACATGATGCAGCACACGACAGTCATACACGGAACAAAAAGCACGCCACAGTCACATACAAGGACACAGCACATGCCAGTTACATATGGAGACACAGCGCACACCAGTCACACAAAAGGACAGAGAGCACACTGTGGTCACACATGAGGACACAGAACATGCCACGGTCACACACAGGGACACACACACACTGTGGTCACACACAGGGACACAGCCCACACCAAGGCCACACACGGGGAGGGAGGGCACACCCCTTACACCAAGGTCTACAGGGTGCTCTGAGCAGGTGAGAGCTCCCACAGACTCTTGCCCCAGGACAGAGCCCCGAGTTCTGGCCAGCAGAGGAGGGAAAGCCTGGCTGGGTCTCAGCACCCAAGACCAGGGCCTGGTGGGGAGCCAGCAGGTTTGTTCCGAGACAGACACCACCCATGTCCTGCAGGGACAGGGCTTCTGACAGAGACCGGAGGTGTCCCTCCAGCCGAACCCGCCCCACATGGATCTACGAGGCTGCTCTCAACTCCCCGAGGCCAACGGAGCCCAGCACCCACAGAGAGGCCTGGCTCTATTGCATGTCCAGCGTCTGGAAACAGCTGGGGCCGCCCCAGGCACAAGGGGGCCTGGACGCTGCGATCCTGGTGAGCGGGGCTGCCACAGCCACAGGGTGCCCCCTGCCCACCACCCGGGCAGTGATGGTGGAGCAGGGCCGAGGCTCCACACAGCCTCGGCCCAGGCCTGTCCCGCAGGAGCCCGCTCCGTGCCCACTTTGGACCGAGGGGAGACCATGGAGGCTGGTGGCACAGGGCCTGCTCTGTGTGGGGCCGTGTGGCTGGGGCTTTCACTCGTGTCAGACACCCAACGAGGGCCAGTCTGCAGCTGGAACTTCCCGCCAGAGGTTTGAGTCTCTCCTCCGCACGACGGGCGGCGGAGGTGGATCCCAGAGAGCAAGCCTACGATGGGAGGCACGCCCGTTGGCCTCTGCCGCTGTATGTGGTAAGCACAGGCCTGGTCGGCTGTGCAAGACAAGCCGGGTCTGACAGCCCATGTGGAGAGAAGACCCGGATCCACTAGGGCTGGGACGCCCCGAGGGCTCCCCGCGCCACCACCCGCTTTCCACCATGAGTGCTGCACCCAGACCTCAGTCAGGCCACGTCACCGGGGGCAGGGCCCGGGAGCCCACCCCAAGCCTGGGCAAAGGGCATGGCTGTGAGTGGTCTTGACTCCAGGGCCCGTGGACCCCCGAGTGGGTCAGTTTATGGTTAGGCCCTGCCTGCACAATGGCAGTGCCGTGGCCACAAAGCATGCCCTTCTGCACCAACGCAGCCTTCCCCCACGGACTCTGGGGCACCCAGTGCCCACAGGGCCCTAAGGTGCCTGCTCCAGCGGGACCCACCCTGGAGCCTAGAGGTTGCCGCTGTGCCCCAGGGCCCAGGACCCGCTTCTCCCTGGGTGTGCCATGTGACCTTCAAGAGAATCGTCCCTAAAGGGAGAGATGGCAGGAAGCCAGCTTGAGGCTTCACATGCCATAGGCCCAGGCCAGCGGGCCAGGGCCTGGAGGCCATCAGCGGAGGGCTGGCCCTCCCCAACCACCTCTGCTGTGCTTTGATAGAAGAACAGAGACCTGTCTCCAGGACAGAACTCAAGCCTGGTCGTCTGCAGAGTGAGGGCTCCTCCCAGAAATGACATCGTCTGCGCAGGGTCCCACGGTGCACAGGACTCAGTCAGGCATGCCCTGACTTCCTGGATTCTTGCAGGGACCCCAGCCTGGGGTCGCACTTCCCTTGGGCACCGGCCCACACAGTAAGGAAGCACCGAAGGGTTCCAGGTCCCGACGCCCAGCTAGGTGGTCACCACACGGAGCAGCTCCCTTGCCGCCCCTGCTGGAGGCCGTGTGGCCGTTGAGTCATTGCACTCTCACGTACAGGACAGAACGGCTTCACCTGCTACTCTTCAGAGCGAAACGGGCACAGCCCACACCTGGCTTGGGATCTTCCGGTTTGCAGACATAACCACCTGAAGAGCTTGGTACAGAGGACCATGTTTGCAGCTACCGGGGCCTGTATGTTCCGTGACTAGAGGCGTCAGCCATCACTGCCCCGGCTCCAGAAGGGGCACCTCCAAGGAGGAAGCGTGGACTGACAGCCGTGGGGGACCAACAGCCGTGCTGCACCACATCCAGGATGCCCGCTGCAGAGCCTTCTTCCCCGGAGTCCGAGGACCCAGGCCTGGTCTCCCCGGCACAGGGCCTTCACTGGCCCCAACAGGCCACTCTGTCCTCAGCCACAGCTCCCGAGGGGGCTGGACCCCTATTTCATCCTGACTGAGGGGCACAGAAGACGGAGAAGGAGACCGACCTGCAGGTTACTCCCTCTCCTGGGGCAAAACCAGCCCTGAGGCGTGAACGCAGGCAGGACTGAGTGTGGCTGGTGGCCTGGCCCTGCCATAGGGCATATTGACCTGCCCAGCCCGGCCACGGGGTCCATCGACCTGCCTGGCCAGGGCCAGCTATGGGGCACATCGACCAACATGGTACCTCAGCCTCCCCTGTACCCAGCCCAACCCTGACATGGGGTGCATCGATCCGCCCAGCCTGGCCCTGCCACGAAGCGCATCAACCCACCTGGTACCTCGGCCGCCCCTGCACTCAGCCTGGCCACAAGGCGCATCGACCCACCCAGTGCCTCGGCCCCCCCCTTCACCTGGCCCAGCCCTGGCACCGGGCACATCGACCCACCTGGTACCTCGGCCTCTCCTGCACCCAGTCTGGCCCTGCCACAGGGTGCATCAGCCCTGCCACAGAGCACATTGACTCACTTGGTACCTTGGCCTCTCCCGAACCTGCGTGGGCCATTTCCCAGGCCTTCATGCTGCAGCCAGGGAAGGGGCTGCAGTCAGGCACAGATGCCAGGGTTCCCAGGCAATCTGACCATGGCCACCCCAGGCACACACTCTGGCCACCAGACTCTCTTCCTGAGCCAGTGAGGGTGAACCCTCTAGAGAGCCTGCTAATCCCTCCATGGCCACGGAGAGCCTGTCAGGGGCACAGATGGGACTGGGACCGCACCTACCCTTCCCACCAGCCCGCCTGCCCAACACATCCCTGCACCTCCCGCCGCTCCACCCGCCGCACCTCCTCCCGGGCAGGCCGCCCTCCGTCTGGCCGTTGGTGCCGACCTGCTGCAGCTTGGCTCTCTCGATGTGTTCCACGTATGTCTGTATCATCTGTGAGGAGGGGCTGTATCAATCACGCTGTAGGCCTGTCCCGCACACCCCACCCCTGGCCACCATGAGCCATGGCCTTGCTGTGCCTGGGTGGAAACCCAGCCAGCAGGAAGGCTGCCTGGCCAGACAAAGTGCTCTCAGGACTGCGGCGCAGTGTTGGGGAGACCACCAGGACCCACTTCTCACAGGGCCTAGAGCCCAGGCTGCTTCTCACGGGGCCCAGAGCCTGGAGCCTGGAGCCCGGAGCCCAGAGCCCAGAGCCCAGGCCGCTTCCCTGGGGCCCAGGGCCCAGGGCCCAGGGCCCAGGCCACATCCCCGGGGCCCAGGGCCCAGAGTCCAGGCTGCTTCCCTGGGGCCTGGGCCCCAGAGCCCAGAGCCCAGAGCCCAGGCCGCTTCCCTGGGGCCCAGGCTGCACGCACCTCTGTGTGCCGCTGGTGCAACGCGTTGTATTCTTTCTTCATTTCTGACTCGCGCTCCTCCAGCCGGGAAACTGGGAAACACAACCACACGAGGTCAGCTGTGGGTGAGGCACCGCCGCGCTCTGCCTTGGTGGTGGGGGTGGGGGCTGGTGACAGCCCAGCAGGACCATGGTGACGTGTTCATGTGTGTGTGCAAGCTGCTGGCATGGCTGCCCTTCAAGGCTCAGATGAATGAGAAGGGCATCACTCTCAGCAAACTGGCCTTTGAGCCTTGGCAGGGGACAGGGACGGGTCTACAATATGAACTGTCATTTTCCCCCCATGTCATCCTGTCAGAGACAGGAAGGTACCTGGCTCCTGAGGCAACAAGGCTGTTATAGACTGATTTGTGTCCCCACAACGTGTTGACGATGCCAATGTTTGTGCCGGTGGGTACCACCCCACGTGGGATGCTGTGTCTGTGTCTGTGGGAACCACCCCACGCGGGACGGGCTGTCTGTGCCTGGGTCTGTGGGAACCACCCCACGCGGGACGGGCTGTCTGTGCCTGCGTCTGTGGGAACCACCCCACGCGGGACGGGCTGTCTGTG